CCCTAGGGAATTGTTGGTTCGACCCGGGAATGAAGTTTTGGTTTCCATGAGAATTTCCTTGGTTCCAAGCAAAGTTGGGATGATTTCTCCAACCTGGATTGTAGGTTGGAGAAAATAGATCATTTCTAGGACGCTGGAATACAACGTTCATCTGTTCTAAAACATGGTTGTTTCCTAAGAGAGGTCATTCCTCTGAAACATGGGTAGAAGACTGACAGTTATGACATCCCGGGGCAGAAACATGATTAATTTGAGCTGGAGCTCGTTCCTTAACTTCTAAGGCTTCTAACCTCCGCAGAATCGTCACCATCTTCGCTTCAGACGCAATGTTTGACTCCAGAGAAAGACCACTAGACTTAGATTGGGGAACAGATGAAACCCTGTCATCACAGTTTTCCCACTGCATTATTTTCTCGGATAAACTCTCTAGAAATTCCCAAGCTTCATCAATGTTTTTCCTCATAAAATCTTCCTGACACATCGATTCTAAAGATGTTTTTGAAGAATAGTCCAATCCTTCATATATGACTTGACACAATCGCCATTTTTCTAGACCATGATGAGGACATTGGATTAAAAGATCTTTAAATCGGTCAAAATATTTCCAGAATGGCTCTCCCGGGATAATTTTGAAGTTTTGAATACTGTTCCTAAGCTTTACCGTTTTATGAATAGGAAAAATTTCTTGAGAAAAACGGTGACAAATTCCTAACAAGTTGAGATAGAATTTATCAGTAAGCTGTACAGCCATTTTTTAGCTTTGTCCTTAAAAGCAAATAGAATAAATCTGAACTTAATTGCATCTTCGGTTAATTCTCTCATTTTAATCATAATACACACTTCCTCAAATTCCGAGATAAAAATATATGCATCTTCTGTTTCATTACCTAGGAATTTGGGAAGCATGTTCATGTAATGCGGTCTAAGCTCGAAATTTGCTCCATTTGCTTCGGGGAGCCTTATGCAAGATGGAATTGCATTTCTGGTGGGGTAACACATATCCTAAAGAACTGGTTGATTTGCCATTTATTGAATTGGTTCAACACGGATTAAACGATGAGAATTATCCCGAACCCAAGTTTGCATGCACCAAAACAATTTTTTTTTCTTTTTTAAGGAAAGAAAGAAAATTAGTTTTTTTATATGAAAAGATAAAGAAAAAAGAAAAAATCCTAACTAAAACAAATCAAAGCAATCACTTTTCAATCAACTCTAATTCTAGGGTTTAGCCTAACTCACTAGACCAGCTCCTAACCAAAAACTTCTATAGTGAAAAGATTAAAGTTTTACCCAGGTAGTTAACCAGGTAAGGATAGTACTAGAGGATGATCAAAGATCAATTAAGTACCTCTTTCCTTGTGGAGCAATTTACGCAACCCCTAAACCTTGCCTTAGACACCAACTAATCTGAGAAAACTTAAACCGGTTCACTTAAGGATTTCTTGTTCCTTATTGAGCTCGAATCCTTAGGGGCCAGCGTCTAATGAGTTTTAGAAGGCTTAGGTTTGTGAAGTGAGGAATTAGTGATTTGTGGGCTAAGGAAAGGGTGATGAAATCCCTTACCTTATCTTGATTATGGTTTTGCCCTTAAGAATGTTTTAAGTGTGTGCCAAATCAAGTGCTACAATCACTTTGGTGAATTCCTACACTATATGAAATGCAACCCTAGAAATTAAAAGCGACTAAAAAGGATGATAAAAAGAAAATCTGTATATTTTTTAATTATGGTCAACAACAATCAAAGATGACTCATGTTTGAATTTATTATCTTGTTAGTTAATGTCCAAGTGAAAGATGAATTTTATTATGGTCATGGATTTTATTATGGTCAACAAAAATAATTTTTTTTTAAAATCCTAATTGTCTCTAATTGTGAAGCTAGCTAAAGAGGGTGGAATTGAAAACTAGAAAGAGGACTTACCCGAAAGCAATTCTCCAAGTTCTTGATCTTCAATCCAAGATTTTCAAGCTCAAAACGGTTCCTTCACAAGAAAACACACAAGTTAAAGAACCAAAATAATAAAATCCTATTTTAGCACCATCCCCGACAACGGCGCCAAAAACTTGATGCGGCATAATTATGTACCAAAACTGCAAGTGCACAATTGATCAAGTTATAGTATAAAAAGTTATCAATCCCACGAGGAAAGTGGTTTTAAGAGATTATTAGAATTGGTTCTTATGTTTTGTGCGTGACAAAATAGGATTAAAGAATAAGTGTGATTGTGGTGGGAGATATGATAAGTGGTTGTTTTGATTTATGTGCAAGTAACAATAAATTAAATTTTAGAGAAAAGAAATAATAATCAAAGAATAAATGAAATCACAAGGCAAGAAAGAAGAATGAATAAAATCAAGAAATAAAACCAAGAATGAAAAGAAAGTTTAAGAAAGTCAAGATGGAGGATTCAAAAGAGGTAAGAAATCTAGAATATAATCCACTAACTAAATTTAATTACAAAATACAAACTATTCTCTTTTTATCATAATTCAACTTAGATTTATTAAGCATAGACTATCAAACCATTTAAGAAAAGTATAACCTATCAAATTATCATCTAAGTTAAAATTACTATTCATGATAAGAACAACAAGAAGATAATAATACTAGAATTCATAAGCATAACCTATCAAACCATTTAAGATAAGTATAGATTATCAAATTCTTCTTCTACCGATTAGCTCTCTAGTTGATTATCCTAAACATGAACATTTTATGTGAAAGAGAATAATTCATATAATATAAAGAAAATTAAACTAGTTTTCTGTAATTCTAAGATTCCTACAAGAATTAATTTCACATCTCAAGAAATAAAAACAAGAAGAAAAAGAACTAATTACAAAAATAAAAAGAAAAGAAAAATCTAAACTATGAACAAGAAATAAATCTAACTACAAAGAATAAAAATCTAAACCACAAAATAAATTGCAGAAATTAAATGCAAGATAAAAAATCTACTCTACAAATTAAAGTACAAAAAGAAATAAAAAAGACAAGAAAATAAATCTACACTACAAGCATGAATGTAAATCTAACTAATAAGCAATAATAAAGAAATTACAATAAAGAAATAAAAGAGGAAAAAAAAGAAATGCAAACCTTCAAAATTGGTCTTTATCTCCTTCCTCATCATTCAACAAACAAGAGAAAAGACAAATTTAAAGTGAAGAAAAAATTATTATTATTAAATGGTCACAAAGTATATATTTTTTAAAAAGAAAACAAAAGAAAAAAAGGCCTTCTCAATTAAGAGTAGCCCTCCTCTCCAAAAGGAGTTTACAAAATTTTCACACCTCTAACCCCTCACTCTCTACCCTTAGATTCGTAACTAACTGCCCAGTGTATCGATACCAGCATCGATAGGGGTATCGATGCTGGCATCGATATTGGCATCGATGCAAGCATCGATGCCCCCATCGATGCAGGCATCGATGCCTGCCTCTCTTCTGTTGCTGTCCACAGATCCTCTTGTATTTGGCTTTTGGGCTTGGATCTTGGGCTTTGGCTTGGACTTTTGGGCTTTGGTATTTTCTCTTGATTTTCCACTGGGCTTTGATTTATTTTTAAATTAAATATTTGAAAGAATTCATTTGGCTTCATGGGTTTCATTTCTTCATTAAATCAAGGGATTTTTGTTGAAAGATGAGAGTTTGAGATTTATTCTTCATTAACCTGCAATTAAAAGATAAAAACAATTATTAGTGGTATATTTATTCATATAAAATAGGTAATGAGGGTATAAAATTGTAATAAAATATGATTATCATCTTGTTTATATATCGCCAACTTAAGGGATAGATTTGATGTTTGTCTTATCCTCAACACATAAGTCAATAGATATTTTTGTATTATCTACATATAAACATACATAGAATAAGATGATGACATGTAATTACTTTGTTGGACTCGCTCAATATTCTTGGGGAGTAACTGGGTCCGACTAAAAGGCATTAGCCCTAATCTATATCTTAAACCTATTACTCTTTTATATCTTTTCAAATATTGAATTTTTAATCACATATGAATCCATAAATTGGTCACATGTTCCAATCCAAACTTTACTCTAGTCGACCTCCCGAAATCTTTAGACTTCACTTTTCCTTAGACTACAACCTTTGGTTCTGATACTACAACAATTGTTGAGGAGTAATCGGGCTTAATTAAGAGTTAATGTGTCTTAAATAGATGTTAGAAACTAATTTTAACCGAAATGATTAAGCTATTGCGTATCGGCTTTAACTCCGAATTTAAACCCAAAACATTTTCATATCCTTTCTGCTCGTAATTTGGTGGGGTCTGCACAAATAAGTGAACGGATGCAAAGAGAGCCCAAACCAATCATTTAGTGGTTAGGCTATGATTTGAGAGAGAGAGAGAGAGAGAGAGAAAGAGAGAGAGAGAGAGAGAGAGAGAGAGAGAGAGGGGAGGGGGGAGAGAGAGAGAGAGAGAGAGAGAAAGAGAGAGAGAGAGAGAGAGAGAGAGAGAGAGAGGTTAGGGTTAGGGCATGAAGCAATGTGAGGAGAGAGAAAGAGATGAGGGAGCGATTAGGGTTAGGGCATGCAGCAACATAAAGGGGGAAGAGAGGGAGAGAGATACTTGCAATGATCCCGACTCTAAGGGAGAGCAGAGACGAACTGAGAGAGAAAAGGAGCAATCGAGATTAGGGATTTGACAAACACTAGGGGTTAGGCTATGATTTGAAATCTTTAGTTTTGGGCTTTAGAATCATCTATATAAAATACATGGATACCACTTTCAAAAAAAACCCAAACTGGAGATTTGGATTTGGGCCACCTTGAATTTCAAATCAAGACCAATCAACATTTCCAAATAGAGTCTTAAGGTCAAAAACCTCCTAATCAAGAGAAGCTGAGGGATTTCATCATTTTTTTCTTAGCCTATAAACCATTAATTCCTTACTACAAAAATCCAAGCCTTCTAAAACTCATTAGACGCTAGTCTCTAAGGACTTGAGCTCATTAAGGCTCCGTTTGAATACCATGGTGTTTTACTTGTTTCCATGGTGTTTTTGCCAAAAACAAAATACCATGTGTTTGGAAACCATGATGTTTTTTGAGCTAAACCATCATCAAACAAAAAACACAACACTTATTTTAAAACACATTTTAGGTGTTTTAAGTTTGGTGTTGTGGTTTTGAGTTTGAGAACGTATTAATATAATATATTAAATATAATTAATATAGAGTTATTATCAACATACTTATTATATTATACTATACTATACTATACTATACTATAGTTAATTTAATATATTAGTAATATTTATTAAATATATAAAAATATAATAAATAAAATATCTTATATAATAATATAATAACATATTAAATACCAATATTGAATATGTTAATAAAGTATTATATAATAAATAAATAATAGTAAAATATAAATAAATAAATAAACTAATAAATACAATAAAAAGTTATTGATAATAAATAATAATATAATAATGATATAATAATATATTATACAATAGTATAATCACTATAATATTATTAAATTTTTAATAAATAAATTATAATAAATTAATAATTATAAAATATTATATAAGAGTAACATATTTAATAATAACATAACAATATAATAATAATAATAATATAATAACATATTGTATAGTAAATGTAATATAATATATAAAATATTAATATATTATGTAATAAATAATATAATTTATTATAAAGTAAAATATTTTTTAATAATAAAATAATTTATTGTTAATAAATGTTAATGTAAAAATAATATATTCATAATATAATAATATTTATTTATATCATAAATACTAATATATTATTAAAGTACTATTAATAAACTCTAACATATTAAAAACTATAATATATTATATATAATATATAACAATAACAAATTGATATACCAAAATAATTAATATATAATTATTTGAAAATAATATGTAATAATTATAATATAATATAACTCATTAAAGTACAATATAATATTATAATATATTATATAATATTATATTACATTACATTTAATACTTATAATACTATAATAATGTAAACTAAATATTATAATATTTTATTTATAATATATTTTATTATAATTAATATATAATATATTAATAATATGTTTAATACTAATGTTATAATGGGTCAATCTAGTGTTGATTAAAAATACTTAACATGGTGTTTTGAAAACATTTTAAGAGAAAACACAACACCATGGTGTTTTTTTACGAAAACACAACAAGGAAAACACTATGGTATCCAAACGAAGCCTAATAGGAATAAGAAATCCTTAAGGAAACCGATTTAAGTTTTCTTAAATCTATTGATGTCTAAGACAAGGTTTAGGGGTTACATAAAGCACTCCGAAAAGAAAGAGACACCTAATTAGTCCTTGGCCTAGCTCTAGCACTATCCTTACTTAACTAACTGACCAAACAAACTTAAATCAATCATTGGTTTAAGGATCTTCTTATTAAACATCCTCACCATGGTCTAAAAAAGTACCAATCGTAAAAAAATCATCTATAAAGGATTTGGATTATTTTTCAAAGACTTCCTTAGAATCAATGTGTTAAGAGGATTTCATAAAGAAAAATGATGAAGCTTAGAAAGTTTTAGAGAGTTTGACTAATAATACCATACAGTGGGAACACTGTGATGAAAGAGTTTTTATTAGTTTTCCTAACCAAATCTAGTCATCTTATCTTAGAGTCCAACATAGCCTCTAAAGCAAAGATGGCTACAATCCTGCGTAGAACTATAGAACAAGGTACAACTCAAATCAATAATGTCATTACTATTTTTTCCCCGCCCATATTTTCGAGAAATGTCTTCTCTTAGGAAACAATCAACCACTAGAGGAGAGGAACATTGCATTTCAGTGTCCTAAAAATGATTTGTTTTGTCCAACTTATAATCTAGGTTGAAAAAATCATCCAAATTTTTATATGGACTTAGAAAAAAATTCTCAAAAACCAAAATATCACTCCCACTTTAACCTAAGAATTGCCTAGAGGAAAAACAATTTTGTTCAACATACCGAATAATATTTAGCAATCTAATTTGCCTTATCCAAACTAGCTTCCTTATCATCAAGCAGTAAATCCTATTTCTTTGAGTTTTGATCACGAGAAACGTTTCAATTCAGTATCTTAGAAAAGGGTTTAGAGGTCATGATCAAAGCTTCTATATAGTCCAAAACATGTCAACTCAGTCATGCAATACTTTGAATTCATTCATGCAGACAACTAGCCAAATGCTCAATTCCAACACTCAAGCCATAGCTAGGTTAGAAACCCAACTTGGTCAACTAGATAGTATCATGAGTGAAAAATAGAAGGAAAATTTTCAAGTCAACCTAGTGCAAACCCTAAAAACCCTAAATAGAATCCAACCTATCTAGATCAAGTGAATGAAATCCTCAAACTTCGGTAAGAGAAACAAGTCGATAATCAAGTTAGGATACCTCCAGATCGAAACCTCATCCTTTTGCTTTCCTACTCAAAAAGCTAGAATCGAAACAAACTCTCTCTCCTTTTGATAACTTTGTTCAACAATCACCCTTTCCAATGAATGAGAAACTGAATTTAAATCTGAGCTCAATCTTAATAGGCTTAAGCCCGTTGATCCCTTTCCAAATATCTTAGGCCAAGAAAAAACTCTCTGTATGTAGAAAAAAGTCCCAGAAATTTTTAAGCAGATCAATGTTAACAATTCTCTCTTAGATACTATCTAATAAATCCATCATATGCAAAGTTTTTGAAATATTTGTGTACTAAGAAAAGAAGTACTAATGTTTTCAAGAAAGCCTTTCTAGCTGCCAATATCAATGACATGCTCTCGAAGGTCATGCCTTTGAAAGATAATGATCCTTATTGTCCAACCATCTCATGTGTTATAAGAACAACCTTCATTGATGAGGCTCTTCTAGACTTTAGAGCTTGTGTGAATCTTCTTTCCTATTTAGTCTATCAATATCTAGTGGTAGTTGACTTAAAACCTACCACATGTACTGTTCAGTAAACTGATAAATTTGTAAAAATATCCAATGGAGAGATTGAGGATGTTCTAATTAAGGTTGGGGAGTTTATTTTTCCTATTGGTTTTATGCCCTTGAAAATGCAGTTTGTTTCCAATCCTAAAGGTCGAATACCTGTCATTCTCGGAAGGCCATCCTTTACAACTTCTAATGCTCTGATTAATTATAGAACTGGTGATAATCATATTTTATTACAATTTTATACCCTCATTATCTAATTTATATGAATAAATATATCACTAATAATTGTTTTTATCTTTTAATTACAGGTTAATGAAGAATAAATCTCAAACTCTCATCTCTCAACAAAAACCCATCGATTAAATGAAGAAATGAATCAAAGAAGCCCATTGGAAAATCAATTTCCAAATTATCCAAAAGTCCAGAATCAAGCCGAGTCGCCTGTAGAAGCCGGAGAAAATCAAAAATCCAATATGAAAAGAAATCATATTCAAAATGGTTGGCTGCAAAGAAACGACGATATCTCCTAATCCGGAAGGCGGAATTTAACATATAATATATGAAAATCGCCTATCTCGACGAGATGAAGCTATCCGTGAAATCAGAATTTGAAAATAATGAGTATCGATGTCGGCATCGATGTGGGCATCGATGCCTGCATCGATACCAGCATCGATGCCTGCATCGATGAGAGGAGGGCTACTCTTAATTGAGAAGGCCTTCCAAAATTGTAACTTTAGTTGCAATTAATAATAATAATTTTTTCACCACTTTAAATATTTCTTCTCTTTGTTGGATGATGAAGATGGAGATGAAGAATTATTTAGAGGTTTGCATTTTCTTTCCTTTTTCTCTTTTATTTCCTTTTTATTGCTTATTAGTGTAGATTTATTTCTATGCTTGTAGTTTAGATTTTATTTTCTTGTTAAATAGCCAAGAGGCTAGAACCCTCTTGCCTTAGATTTATTTCATGCTTATAGAATAGATTTAATTTCTTGCATTTAATTCTTGCAATTTTATTTTGTAGTTTAGATTTTGCAATTTATTTTGTAGTTAGATTTTAATTTCTTATACTATTCACCTTGAGGCTAGAACCCTCTTGGGTTTAGTTTTTCTTTTTGTTTATTTTTATTTTGTTTGATTCGCCTTTAGGCTAGAACCCTCTAGGGAATCACCCTTTTCTAAGAAGTGGGTTCAATTGTAGATTACCCATATCTATAATTGAATCCACCATCTTTAATTTCTTGCATTTTCTTTTATTCTTGAATTTTATTTTCTTTATTCTTGATTTTTATTTTCCTTTTCCTTCTTGCCTTATTGATCATATTCATTCTTTGTCACATCCACTCTCACTTATATCTCGTGCCGATTTACACACTATCACTTCCACTCTCTCTATCTCTCCACAATCACATTCACTTATCACTCCTACTTGTCACGCACACAACATAAGAACCGATTTTATATTTTCTCCTACAAAACACCTTCCTCGTGGGATCGATATCTTAAATACTATAACTTGACACGGTTGTGCACTTGCAACCTTTTTGGTACATGTTTATGCCGCATCAAGTTTTTGGCGCCGTTGCCGGGGAAGGTGCTTAAGTAGGTTTTAATTATTTTGGTTCTTTAACTTGTGTGTTTTTTGTGAAGGAAACGCTTGGAGCTTGAAGATCGCGGATTGGAGAGCTAGGATTTGAAGATTTGCTTTCAGGTAAGTCCTCTTTCTAGTTTTTAATTCCACCCTTTAGCTACTTCTTCACAATTAGAGACAATTAGGACTTAAAAAAGAAGAAGAGATTTTATTTTTTGTTGACCATAATAAAATTCATCCTCCACTTTGACATTTACTAACAAGATAATAAATTCAAACAAATCCCCCCTTCTCATTTGTTTGATTGTTAACCCTAATTAAAAAAAAAGATTTTTCTTTTCCATCCTTTTTAGTTGCTTTTAATTCATAGGGTTGCATTTCATATAGTGTAGGAATTCACCAAGTGATTTGAGCATCTTGATTTGACACACACTTAAAAATATTT